CATCCATGGCTCCTGGTCATATATAAGGAAGCGGTGCTTTAGTTGCCAGTGTTGGGGGTCAGTTAATGAGTAACTGGTGTGGGTGTTATGTCATGAATCGCTGCTGGAGATCTTATCTATCTTAGTAAAAATCCCAATGCAAGAAGGAGATTATGTAATGGAACGAATATCAACCTTGCGTTATGTAAAATGTTAAGTCATTATGAAACATACCGTAACGCTTTTAGTTCAACTGTTACGTAAGTGTAACAAGAATTACGTAATTGTTACGTAATGAACATTAGATTTACGTGAAGCAACCAGTAAAACCTACTAAACCAGGTCAAAAAGTTCAAGTTATAATACTTCAACGTCTGCTGGGAGGAGGTCCCTATACATATACATGCGATGTGACTATACTTCTCCAAAGAAATGGAGCGAATATCGGTTCAAGAAACCTACGTACGTAGTAATAAACGAAAATGACAGTTGGATCGATGCCCACATGCAAAGCTCTCCATGCACGTTAGCCTCTGCATATATTTGCAGGAAGGCAGGCAGACATGGTAGCTCCTTCCTCTTTCTGCGGATCTCGTATGCTCACAGTAACTCCATAGCCGACGATGGATAGAGAGGTAGCCTGCGGACTGCGGTATTTATAATAGCTAGAGGCAATATATATAATCGAGTAGCATATATAGTTAATTTGGTTATTTCCCCACGTGTTGCTGAGAGCGAGGTGAAGGAAATAGTATTCAATGATTGATTCGCTTAGGGTTTGTAAACAGATCAGAGAGCTGCAGTTCGTACTAAGAGATCAGATCAAGTAGCTTCAACTCAACTGAGATTTGGAGAGAGATAGAGAGAGATGAGTGGTAGGTTTTACAAATCGCAATTAATCTCACTTGGGTTGATCAGGAATATTCCACTGCGATCTGCGGGCTACTCGCATCCAGCCCATATTTCAATGCAGAACGTTTGTCTTATTCAATCTTTATCCAGTAATATAAGTCATGAAGAAGTTAGGTTTAAAATTAAATGAAGTGTGTTAAGGAAAAAAAAAAAACTATCACGTAATCAATTTTTAGAATGGGATATGGGTTCTTCATTACTAGCGCAACATTATGCCATCTATAATTCCTAAAATACGAAATTAAGAGTAAAATTAAGAGAAATACGTCACGAAATTATGCATGCATGCACATTTTTACATTGATGAAGAGAAGTTTTACTAATATGGTTGCTCTATTAATTTTTTTTTTTTGATAATGATGAAGAACTTAATTAGAAGGAAAATAATGGGAGTACATGGCAGAGACCCACAAGCAGTGGGCCAAGAAAGAAAAAAGAGACCACAGCAGCAAGAACTACAACGCTGACCGTGATCCAAAGCAACGAAAAAACTGAAGGAGAAAAAAGACAGGAAACCAGCCCAGGAGCCGATCACACAACATTAGCCTCCCGAATCCTGAATCGATCCTGAATGAAGCGCGCCCCTTGCTGTTGGTCTATATTCTTATGCGCCACAATCCAGTCGACGATGTTCCTGGTAATTTTCTTGGTGACAGTCAGGGGAGGGCAGCAAGAGTCCTGGAAAATTCTCTGGTTTCTTTCCTTCCATACAAACCAGCAGATCGCATGAATGGCACAAGATGCGAACCAGTCCTCAACGCCTTCGATATTAGGATCAAAGTGATCGATGATGCTGGTTATGTCTCCTGAAGACAAATCCGGACAAGTGGTCTATATTCTATTAATTTGGTTACTTAAAAATTAAAATGATTGGGTAATGCATCGGTAGCCATTTGTACACCCTTACCCAGGATTTAGATAATATACTTAAGTGATATCCAAATTTATTAATTATATTTAGAAAAACAAAATTCTTTTTCAATCTTAGGTACATTTAATGCATCCTTAAGAACTAGATTCTTCTCAAAAGCAAGGTTGTCAACCCACGAGTTAACCCAGACCCGGTCGAGTTAGTGGGTCAAGGGTTAATGGGTCATCCGCTTTAGCTCGTTTTAACCCGGAAATATGGAAAGAGCCATTATATTGTACTTATCCTGATAAATTATATCAAATCTCATCTAACATATGAATAATAACATATAACATTACACCAAAGTAACATGTCGTACTTAGATCCAACATATTCTGAAAGTTCACACTCATTTATATAACATCAATGTTCCAATGTTCAACTAAGAATTCCAAAAATTGAGTTAGGCGAAAAGAAAAATCGGAAAATAGGCGCATTTTGCAAACCAAAGAAAAAAATGACACAATTTGACCTCCAACCCGATACCTTGTAACAATCGATCCGACGGGTGCTTGCGACCCGTTTTCTCACAGGGTCAGAATCAAAGTGGGTCAACCCACGGGTCGACCCGCCACTACAACAAAAGTGGTCTATCCCAAGGGTTTTTTTAATATGTAGCAAGGGTTATAACCCCTGATACAAATTGTAGCAAGGGTTTTTACAACCCCTGCACGAACCCTCGCCAATGCTACCCCTGCTAAGTGTAGCAAGGGTTTTGAGCAACCCACGGTGAAAGTCCCATCCAAGGGTTGTAGCAGGGTTAAAACCCGTGCTACATGTATTAAGGGTTAAAACCCCTGCTACACTGCAGTGTAAATTCCAACGATGAGATGTCCATACCGTGGGTTAGAACCCCTAGTAAATTCGTTACAAAACTAGTAACCCTTGCTTAATTTGTGGCTAAATCAATTGCAACGAATTCAAAGCGGTCACTAAAGAGAGGCTAGCAAACATACTGAACAATCCAAAACTATCGCTAAAGTGAATCATCAAGGCTGGTGGGCGGTGGCTATAACTTGGTTACAAATACTCTAATACTATAAACAAATCCAAAACCAAGCTTTTTGCTGGTCAATTTTCCATATATATATTTCTTGGCAGCCAAATATTCATACCACACAATATGCTATCAATATTCCATCATACATACCATTAATAAATATACTACGATTTAGGATCCAAGACAATATTAGAATAATATTCAAACATAATCAAAAGAAATTGTTTATTATAATATTGGAGAAGCTTGAGAACTCAACAATGGAGCACGGATATCTCCATGAGCTTGTCTCTAGCTCCTCAACTCTGGAGTAGTAAAGAAAATCAGAAAACCTGAAAGTTATATTTCAGCATAGTTAAATAGATCAATCATTAATATTTGATAATAGGAAGATAGTGTTTTTCCTCACCAAGCATTCCATATTCTTGACCATTGGTAGTGAGACGTGCATGAACAACATCATGGGTTGACACTTACTCAATCCACCAAGCCACCACTACACTAGCAAACAAGCATTTGTTCATATTCTCTCTAGAAGTTCTAGTAATTTTGGCTCGACTACTAATCCTTCTTTGTTTTTTCTCAAGTCTCAACTAGCACCTAGTTCGCCAAACCTAAAGAGGAACCAAACCCAATTCATCAAATAAAAAATTAACAATCCATAAAGTAACAAAATTGTAAGCCAGAGTAGTGAATACAACGTTGGATAACATAGCATTTAACAAGAACATATAATTTAATGGAGAACAGAGAGGTACACACATATCTACCTTTATCATCTGAAAGTTGGTTCCTTTTTCGTGTGGTTGAGAGAACCCAAGTCTCAGAGAGACACAGACGGATAAACTAGTCTTGAATGTCACCAATGGCTTGGATCCATTTAAAACAGGAGGCAACCTCAAACTTAGTCACTGGCCTGCACACACACCAATTCCTAGCTGGTTAGAATCCATTACAGACATAGTTTTATGATTGATAAATATCCCTTACAGAGAAAATAACCAGATGATTAAAGAAGAACTTCGTCATGGTAAACAAAGAAAGTTTCGGATTTAATCTCAAGTCTTTAATTGAGATTAAGTTCAGTACCAAAGCTTTATGCTGGAACCGGAGCTGCTGATAAAGTTTCCTATAACAAAATGAGAAAGACACACAACAAGGTCACACAAGATACATTATCTCTTATGGATAAAGTAAGATAGAGAAAAGGTTACCAGCTTCTGTGAAGTTGCTTTCCTTGTACACCCTTCCACCCAGAACATCCACATAAAACCTTAAATAACAACAAAACATTTCTTAAACTCTTACTTTGTTCATGCCTTAACAAGTAGTTCAGAGTCGACAAGAAAACTTTGACATGAATTGAGTAAAGGTTAAACTTACGGCAAGGGGATTGTCAAAAATTCATACCAAACTGAACAAAAATTCCAAAAGGAAGAGGGATTATGCTTTAATAAGCTTGCACAGTTTCTGAGAAAGAAAGGAGACGACTGATATATTCTGGTTCATCATCTAGATAGTCATTTATCTCATGCTTCAATGGTTTATGACACAAAATGAGTAATCACCTTTGCAGAGATATGCACGTCTATATTACTATTAGAGGTAGCCATGACTATAGATCCTCTTATAAATATCAGTTTTAATTCCCTTCCTTTTCCTTTGCCCCCTGCTGCTCTTTCCTGCATTCCCAAAACGAGAGCATCATGAGCACTTTAGCACATGTTATGCAGTATCAGCATCACTAGCAAAAATCATACTTATAATGCATTCGTAAAGGTGGCCTATATATGCAAGAGTTTGTTTCTAACACTAACTTTTTCTTGTTAAAGAAATATACATATCCTTGGACAGTGCCAATTAGTTCAAAAGAGCTAACATACAAGACATAGCTAGCTTAATTACTGACAATTGAGATGTAATTAAGTTTCTCTTCATAATAACCAGTGCCACAGCCGAGGTCAGGGGAGCTACATACCTGGGAACCATTCCCACAACAATTTCTGTCATTTAGTTGCTTGAACCCTGCAAGCATACATACAGCCAAAGAAACCATTACGGATGCATCAAGCTTGCATAAACGAGAGCTACATATCAAAACCATGTTCTTAGTAGATGATACAACAAAATTCATAGTTATAACAAGTTGCTGCAGTTTTACACTCACCTGACTAGCAAGAGCCAAAGCAGTAGACCCCACGATTTTCAGCTTTACAGAGACCAGGACCTCAACAAGCCCTCATAAACCTACCAACAACTTATATCTTCATGGAATTAGTAATACCAACTCTACAATGTATCAACATAGTCAAATAAACGGCTTCTTGTACGAGTAAATAAAGATGTTAATATATGAAGGACAAGGGAGCTAGGTTTGGTATGTTAAACTGTAAGTAAGAGCTTCTTACAGGTGTATCGTCCTATATGTGCTTCTGATATTCTATGCATCCCTTTTCCTGGAATCCTCCTAGTGATAGCTAGATTGATGACTCCTTGAACAACCATGCAAACCTTCGAAGCTAGTAAGTCTGGATAACTGAAAATCTGAAACTGCACCAATCTGATAGCGTTCAAAATGAAGCAAACAATAACAATTCATATAACCTCGGCAAAGAGCAATACTGTTTCATAAATCAGGAGTCGTATAATTGCACTTCCTCGGGATAAACCCTCGTGCAAGTCATCCTCCTAGAACATCATAATATCACCATGGGATATATATTTTCCCACTTATACGTTCAAATACATCAGTCATGAAAAATCATACCCAATCACTTTCTCGAGCCATCATAAAGCATATCAACAGTCAAGCCCACAATTTGCAACATATGCACAATCATCAGCATAAACCAGGTCCATATTGATTAGGGCAAGTCAATAATATCATACAACAGTCCAGGGTTCATCATATAGCACAAAAGTCCATACACCCCTAATCATGCCATTCTAATTCACCTAGGTCAATTCTAAGCATCAATATAATTATCGTGATACGACAAACCCGGTATGCCGTGCTAATCCCTCACCAGCTCTGGTCGTTCAAACACCGGTTTAACCTTCCCGTACTAAAACGTCAATTTCACCAACGAATCCCGAATTAAAATCCGAGACCGTCCTTATATCCCGTGCTGTATCCCCGTCAATATTAGTTCTTGGCTCCAGGTCAAATTCTTGATAAAAACACATCAAACCCTGGCCGGAGCTAAATTCAGCGATTTGGACCCCGACTTAAATAATTGCCGAAATTCAGGGATTAGAACTAGAGGATTGATTACCTCGCTGCAGGAAGCTCGTATATGAAATTTGGGCTCAATCCGGCTTCCGGATACTCCGAAACCCTAATTTGACTTATCGGGAATTCAAGAAATTCCTAGACCAAAACTTGTTTTAAAGCTCTAAATCGATAAATCACGATGAATGGATGGATTAGGCATAACTTACGGGATTTTTGGATCACTAGGGCTCAAGATTGGAGCTTTGGAATTTTTACCCAGTCGCTCCCCTGCACTTCGCTCGCTCTGCTTCTCTCTCGGTCCGAAAGTGAAAAGAAGATGAAGATGGGGAAAATTAAATGAAACGGTGGTGGGGAATTAAATGGACAGGGATATACATATATATATATATATATATATATATATATATATATATATATATATATATGGCGAGTTTTACGGTATCGTGGGTGAAATCCGGGGTACCGCATACCTTGAGTATGAAAACACTATCTAAACCTTTAATTGGCCGATCTTTTGGACATGATACTATACTCTAACCTTTAAAGATCAAAATCTAGGTCTTAATTCTCCCAATCTTATACTCCAAGATCAATATAATTAGAAACAATAATCGACGGTTACGATTCATCAAAATATAGGCACAAAAAGGAATGCACTATCTTAGAGTTTATATATTATGATTTAGATAATTAGGACATAGGGTTCACTCATTAAGGGTTAGGGTATAGTATCAGACCCAAAATTCCTGCTAATTCGATGTCTAGATAACGTTTTCATACTCAAGGTATGCGATACCCCAGATTTCACCCGGGGTACCGTAGAAGCCACCATATATATATATATATATAATTAATACGTATACTTATCCGATTGATCGATAATCCGATTTTCGCCGAAATATTAGCAAAATGCTCGATTCTAAATCGCGAACTTTCTAGCGATCAAAATATGGGTTTTGCCGGAACGGGATGTTACAGGTACGGCGGCCTTGGTTTCCTGAGCTTGAACGATCTGGTTCATCGTGAGTTGCATCACTGCCAATTGGTCTTGGATCATTTGGAAGTTTTGCTGATTGTTGGTGTCGGCGGCTTCGAGAGCCTCCAGTCGTTGCGCGTTGGTGCCCATTCTCGGCTCTGATACCAGATGATACGGATCAAAGTTGTATGAATGTATAGATCCCTTTTCTTGGCGGGATGTGGCCAGTTCTCGTTTCTTGGTGAGAATAACCACGCTACTACTTTGCAGAAAAATAATTGCTTCCTTATTCGAAGAGATTCAAAGCCTATAAGTAGGCTACAAACGACATCAACAAATCAAATCTAAAACTAGCTAACATACTAACTACCCAGCTCCACTTAAGGTGGAACTCCCTTATTCTCTAACGTTCACTTGAAAAATAGAAACAGAATAACAAACCCCTAACTACATGGCATGGCAAGCTGCTGCATACTCTTCGTCTGTTACTCGTTGATAAAATGAGGGTTGGGCTGGCGACCCCTTGCTGAACGACGAAGCCCATGACGAGGTCCATTAGTAGCATCAGAATCGCCACGACGAGGCCCATCATGGTCCATACTACTTGAAGCTGTTGAGGAATAGTTAGTCTTCGGCCTTTGCCATTAATCATGCGCATCTCATTGAGCAGGAGAGGTGGCATGAGCGTCGGGGACATCCATCTTTGGAATTTATGTCTAAGCTCAGTTCAGTTATTTCATTTTCAGTTATTAAACACTCGGAGCCTTGTCATCCTTGCTCTTGAGCTAAACAGAGTCGGTTGCCGTTTTCTGTTAGCTCCATTAAGACCAAGGATTGTTTTGAATTAATTCACATGGATATTTGGGGTGCTTATCAGCAGCCGTCTCTCAGTGGTGCTCATTATTTTCTCACTATAGTTGACGATTACAGTCATGGTGTCAGGGTATATCTACTCAAGTTTAAGTCAGACGTTGCCCGTCTTGTCATGATGTTCTGCGAAATGGTTCGCACACAATTTAACAAACGTGTTCGTCGGATTCAGGCAGATAATGGTCTAGAATTTCGCACCTCCTCTCTGCGCGATTTCTATGATCGTTCCGGTATTGTTCTACAGACTAGTTGTACTGATACTCCGCAACAGAATGGCGTGGTTGAACGCAAACATCGCCATATCTTGGACACTGCTCGAGCTCTTCGGTTCCATGCTGGGTTACCTCTCCGTTTCTGGGGAGAGTGTGTTCTCACATAAGTTTATCTTCTCAATCGCCTTCCAACCTCGGCAACTGGGAAGACTCCCTTTGAGGTACTGTTTGGCCATGTGGCCAAGTATGATCATCTACGTGTGTTCGGCTGCTTGCTTACGCCAAAGACACACATCATCATCTCGATAAGTTCGCTGCACGGGGGCGGACATGTGTTTTTCTAGGTTACGCCGCAGTCAGAAAGGATATCGTCTCTTTGATTTGGATGCGCAGAAGGTAATAGTTTCACGTGACGTAATCTTTCACGAGTCTCATTTTCCTTACCGTGCACAGGACCCCACGGATTATCATTGGATCTCCCAGCTGTCTTTAGCGATGATGGCATTGAAGCGCCAGCCACCTCCTCGCAAAACCCCCTGGCGGATCCCTCGTCACCAGCCGCACCCCCGTTGTCGTCCCAGTCAGAGGAAGGGTCTTCATCCTCGCCAGTCATCACCACCTCTCCCGCGGGTGGACCCTCGTCCCCGGCCAGTATTGCCGGCAGTTCGCCCTCCAGTCCCGCTGTGGCTCCCATGAAGGCCATGCATGACGTCAACCCGGTGCCGCGACGAGGGGATCGTGTTCGTGTGAGGCCGAAGCACCACGATCTCTATGTCACCAACACCGCCATTGCTTCCACTGTCAGGTATCCCTTGGCCAACTTTGTTTCTTATGCTAACGTCTCGCAACATTATCGTGCTTTCCTTGCAGCTATCACGAATGATGACGAGCCCCGCATGTTCAATCAAGCTGTGCGCCTGGCCAGCTGGCGCGCTGCCATGGCTGCCGAGATGGACGCCTTGGAGAAGAATGGGACTTGGACTCTCGTCATACCACCTTCCAATCGTCGGATTATTGATGGAAAATGGGTATTCAAGATCAAGTATCGGCCAGATGGGACGATTGAGCGCTACAAGGCACGACTCGTCGCCAAGGGATTCACACAGATCGAGGGTGTCGATTTCCATGATATGTTTGCTCCAATTGCTAAGCTGGTCACAGTTTGTTGTTTTATTGCAGTTGCTGTTCAACGAGGGTGGTTTCTGCACCAGTTGGATGTCAATAACACCTTCTTGCATGGTGATCTGCAGGAAGAGGTTACATGTGATTACCACCCGGGTTTGCTGCACCTGGTGATCAGCGTGTTTGTCGTCTTAACAAGTCCTTGTATGGACTTCGTCAAGCCTCCCAGAACTGGTATCAAAAGTTCACTGCTGCTCTGTGTTCCATGGGTTTTCGGTCCTCAGCAGCAGATCACTCCTTGTTTGTCTATCAGCGTGGTGAATCCTATGTGGCGGCACTTATATATGTCGACGACGTCATCCTTGGGGGAAATGACCTCGTTTTCATCAACCGGGTTAAGCTTTTCTTGGATCAGCAGTCAGTATTAAGGACCTTGGTCCTCTTTGTTACTTCTTGGGTATTGAGGTTGCTCATTCCCCGACTGATGTGGTTCTTAGTCAGCGAAAATATGTACTTGATATTCTTGAGGAGGCCGGAGTTCAAGGAGCTCGCCCCAGTCACTTTCCTATGGAACAGAATCACCAGCTGACCAAGCTAGAGATTTCTGAACCGTTGGCCGATGGGTCACCGTATCGCCGTCTTATTGGCCGTCTTCAATGCCTGACTGTCACTCGTCCAGATATCACCTATGGCGTGAACATCTTCAGTCGTTTTGTCCATGCTCCTACTAAGGCTCACATGGATGCTGCCGTCCGCATCCTTCGGTACCTAAAGTTGTCCCCTGGACAGGGTCTCTTTTTCCCAGCCAAGGGATCTCTCGATCTCGTTGCCTATTGTGACGCTGATTGGGTCGGTTGTCAGAGCATGCGTTGCTCCACCACAGGGTATCTTGTCACTCTTGGTTCTGCTCCCATTTCCTGGAGTTCTAAGAAGCAGAAGGTGGTTGCCCGATCGTCTGCTGAAGCAGAGTACCGTGCCATGGCCACCATTGTTAGCGAAGTCTTATGGCTTCGCTGGTTACTTCGGGAGCTAGGGGTCTCCTCCTCCCACGCTACTCCACTCTACTGCGATAACCAGGCAACCCTACATATTGCTGCCAACCCTGTTTTCCACGAACGTACGAAGCACGTGGAGATGGATTGTCACTTTGTTCGTGAGCGTGTAGTCTTTGGTGATATCGCTCCCCGTAAGGTTAGCTCCGATTTGC